AGCCCCTGTGGTGGACACATATGCCATGAGGGGAGGAGCCAATCAAAATTGGACCTCCCCCCACAGCACTGTCCACGACAGAGTTGCCCGTCCGGCACCGCGAGGAGGTAGGGGGTTGTTTTGCCACACTACTACTACACACTACACTATGACACACTATACACTACACTACACACTACACTATACACTCCACTACACTACTACACACTACACTGCACACTACACTATACACTACACACTACACTACTAAACAAGACACTACACTATACACTACACACTACACTACACTACACACTACACTACTAAACACTACACTACTATACACTACACTACTACACACTACTATACACTATACTATACACTTCAATATACTATACACTACACTACACACGTGTATATATACACAAGTGGTGTGGTGTGTGTGTGGCTGGTGAGAGGGACTACTACACACTACAACACACACGTGTATATATATACACACACACGTGTATATAAGTGTGTAGTAGTGTGTGTTAGTGTGTGTGTGGTGAGAGTGACTACTATACACTACACTACACACTAACACTACACACACGTGTATATATACACACTGGTGTGTGTGTGTAGTGAGAGTGACTACTACACACTACTACACATTACACTACTACACACTACACTACACACGAACACTACAACACGTGTATATACACACTGGTGTGTGTGTGTGGTGAGAGTGACTACTACACTACACTATACACTACTACACACACACACACACGTGTTAGTGTGTTAGTGTGTGTTAGAGTGTATAGTGTGTGTTAGTCCGGCAAAACAACCCCCTACCTCCTCGCGGTGCCGGACGGGCAACTCTGTCGTGGACAGTGCTGTGGGGGGAGTCCCAATTTTGATTGGCTCCTCCCCTCATGGCATATGTGTCCACCACAGGGGCTAAACGGGGGCTCTGGACGGGTGCGAGGGGCTGGTAACCCCTCCACCTTCAATTAATTACCACAAAACCACGAATTAAAGTGAAATATGTAACAACTAAGCTTGTGCCGGAGGCCCCGGGGGGCCAGGCGTCTATGACGTCTCCTGGCCAAACCCCAATTGGCGGAGCCAGGAGATTGAATACCTACCCTCGGGGCTACTCCAGAAACAACGAAAAGCCACTACGGGTGGCCACGTGGAATGTTCGAACGCTCACTGCAGAGGAGAGGCTGCCACTCCTCTGTCGGGAGCTGGACCGGTACCGCCTGGATCTATGCGGCATTCAGGAGGTCCGGTGGACCGGCTCTGGCTCCTGCCACCATGAGGGGTGGACAGTCCTCTACTCGGGGCAGCAGACTGCCAAACACCAGGGTGTGGGTCTTCTTTTGAACAAAAGAATGAAGGGGGCGTGGGAGCGTGGCGGTGAGGTGTGGGAAGCTGTAAGCCCCAGGCTACTTTGGGCTCGCCTTCCCATCAACCGGAGGCGAGGAATGGTGGTCGTGGTTACTTATGCCCCCACCGAAGATGAACATCCGTGGAGGGATGCAGGCAAAGCCGATGAGTCAGATGCCTTCTATGACCTCCTGTCACAGGTGCTGGCTAAAGTGGCCCCTCGGGATAGAGTCATCATGTTGGGTGACTTCAATGCCCGAGTTGGTCATGATACTGGCACCTGGTCTGGAGTGATTGGAGGGCATGGGCCAGATCAGCTCAATAACAACGGTAGGAGGCTGCTAGATTTTTGTGCAGCCCATGGGCTTGTAATTACCAACACGCTGTTCCGGCATCGGCGCATCCACACAACATCATGGATGCATGCCGGGTCCAAGCAAGAACATCTGCTGGACTACATAGTGACGGACCAGCGAATGCGAGCCCATGTCCTTGACACCAGGACCTACCGTGGAGCTGATCTGCCCTCTGACCATCGACTAGTCATCTGTAAGATGCGCCTGCCATTCTTCCACTCCGGTGGTGGGTGTACACCCAGGACCCCATTCCAACCTAAAGTGGCCTGGTCTCAGTTATCTGATGAAAGTTGCAAGCGAGAATTTCATCATCGCTTGCGGCTGGGATTGGCATCGTCCCCGACTCCTCCTGATGTCGAGGGTAAATGGGCGAGGTTTAGGACTGTGACTCATGCAGCTGCAATGGCTGCTTTGGGTACGCGGTCCAGACCTCCCCAGACACCCTGGATGACAGAGGAGTTGTTCAGGATGGTTGAGAAAAAGCGACAGGCCCACTGTCATCGGCTACAGAATCCCACGTCAGAGAATGAGGAGGCTTACCGCAGCCTTCGCTCGGAGGTTCGGAGAGCCGTGAGGCGCTGCAAGGATGGGTGGTGGTCGCGGGTTGCTGAGGAGATGGAGTCTGCCTCAGTGGCCCGTGATCACAAATCGCTATTTAACTCCATCAAAAAAGTAACCTGCAGCGCCACACCTATTACCATCATTAGGGGAAAAAACGGTGATCCAATTTCCGACCCCCAGGAACAGGTTCGCAGATTTGCTGAGCATTTCTGTGAGGTCCTGGGGGAGGGAAAATCCCACAGCCAGGAAAACATCGTGGCACAAAGTGAGGATGACCCTGCTGAGGCTGCGGTGCCTCAAATATTGGATGAAGTCACCCCCTGTGAGTGGCTGGCTGAGGTGCCATCTGCTGAGGAAGTATTGAAGGCGATCCGGAGTCTGAGACCAGGAAAGGCAGCGGGCAGAGATGATCTCCCAAGCGAAATGCTGAGGGAGGGTGGCGTTTGTGCACAGACTGCCCTATATGACATCATAACAACAGTCTGGACCACTGGACGGGTTCCGCAGGATTGGAAGGATGCCCTGGTGGTCCCCCTTTTTAAGAAGGGGGACCGCACAGACTGTAACAACTACAGGGGCATCTCACTCCTCAGTGTGCCGGGAAAGGTCCTGGCAAGGATTATTCAGCATCGCCTTGCCAGGCACGCTGAGGAGAGGCTTGCGGAGCCCCAATGCGGTTTCAGGAAAGGGCGGTCCTGCACAGATGCCATATTTTCTGTCCGTCTGCTACAGCAGAGGTGTAGGGAATTCCAACAAGACCTACATCTCTGCTTTATTGACCTGGTCAAGGCCTATGATACCATCAGTAGGCCTGGGCTCTGGGTCGTTCTTCGTGCTTTTGGAGTACCTGACCCTCTGCTCACGATCATTAAGGACCTTCATGATGGTGAGCGGGCCCGGGTAAAACTACGTGGCCGGGAGTCAGAGCCATTCCCTGTACACCTTGGGGTGCGACAGGGATGTCCTCTGGCTCCCACATTATTTAACATCTATTTTGACCACGTAGTTCGTGAAGCCTTCAATAGCTGTACCGGGGGAATCTCCATATGGTACAGATATAATGGGAGGCTAATCGATGCCCGGGTGCGGTCAAGGGATGGCTCCCTATTGCTCAACCACGTTATGTATGCTGATGACTTGGTAATAGCTGCTCAGTCAGAGGAGGAGTTGGAGACGCTGCTGCTGAGACTGGAGCGTGCCACTAAGAGGTGGGGCCTTACCATCAGCCCCACCAAAACTAAGCACCTGCCTGGGTATTTTGTACCATCGGACACTCCACCCCCACAACTCCCAATCGGTGATGGGGCAGTTGTGGAGAGAGTGGAGAGTTTCCCATACCTGGGCAGTGTGCTTATGACTGGCTCCAGTTTAACAGCAGAGGTCTCACTCCGAATCAGTCGAGCGGCAATATCTTTTCATCGGTTGCGTAACGCTGTGTGGAAGCTACCTGGTCTGTCGCTCCGCACTAAGCTTCAGGTCTTCTCGGCCACGGTCATTCCCTCCCTTCTCTACGCTTGCGAAACGTGGACCCCCCTAATGGAACATCTTCGCCGGTTAGAAACATTTAGGCTGACCTGCCTACGATCCATCCTGGGTTTAACCAGACTGGATTGTGTGAGGAGCTCACAAATCCTTGAAAGATCTGGGCAGGGTCCCATCGGTGAGCTCCTCCGGCAGGCAAGGCTGCGATGGCTGGGTCATGTAGCCCGCATGCCCAGCCACCGCATGCCGAAACAGCTTTTGTTTGGCCGGATTGAGGGGGCTAAGCGGGCGCGGCACGGGCTAGAGAAGAGATGGAGTGATGTGGTACAGGAGGACGTGGAGCTGAGTGGACTTGCCGATGACTGGTACCAGCGGTGTCAAGATCGGCCTCTGTGGAGGAGGCTCGTGAAGGATGCTACTGGGCAGTTGGAGGCAGTCGCCCTCCAACAACAACGGAGGGCGGAGGAGCGACGCTCACAACAGCGAGCGGAGCGCCGGGTGGCTAAAGCACAGCAGGTTGGCACAGTAGGGGGCACAGGTGGTGCATCAGCCAGTCATCTCAGTCAGTCGACCCGTGGCACCTGGGTCTGCCCCGTGACCTCCTGCCAGCGGGCGTTCGACACTTCACGTGGCCTCAGGGTGCACATAGCCTGGCACAAGCGTCGTGGTGACGTCACCGCCACTTAGTGGCGAATGGCGGTTGTTGTTGTTGTTGTTAGAGTGTTAGTGTGTTAGTGTGTGTGTGTGTTAGTGTGTGTGTTAGTGTGTGTTAGTGTGTGTGTGTTAGTGTGTGTGTGTTAGTGTGTGTGTTAGTGTGTGTGTGTTAGTGTGTGTTAGTGTGTGTGTGTTAGTGTGTGTGTGTTAGTGTGTGTGTTAGTGTGTGTTAGTGTGTGTGTGTTAGTGTGTGTGTGTTAGTGTGTGTGTTAGTGTGTGTGTTAGTGTGTGTGTGTTAGTGTGTGTGTGTGTTAGTGTGTGTGTGTTAGTGTGTGTGTGTGTTAGTGTGTGTGTGTGTTAGTGTGTGTGTTAGAGTGTTAGTGTGTTAGTGTGTGTGTTAGTGTGTGTGTTAGAGTGTTAGTGTGTGTTAGTGTTAGTGTGTGTGTTAGTGTGTGTGTTAGAGTGTTAGTGTGTTAGTGTGTGTGTTAGTGTGTGTGTTAGAGTGTTAGTGTGTGTTAGTGTTAGTGTGTGTGTTAGTGTGTGTGTTAGAGTGTTAGTGTGTGTTAGTGTGTGTTGAGAGTGACTCACGCTCCTTGCAGGCGAACGCTTTGACGTCGAAGGCCCCCGAGCGGCAGGCGGCCTGGGCGGCCTTGGCCGGCTCGAAGCCCTCGTCACAGGTGAGCAGGGCCACGAGGCGGTCGCGGTCCACGGCCACGCGGCCGTGGGCCACCGTGGAGGGCGGCCGGGAGCAGCACATGGGGGTGGGCTCCCACACACCGGCGTGGCACCTGGGGGGGGTGGGTGGGGGGTGGTGGTGGGGGGGGGGGTGGTGGTGGGGGGTAGGGGGTAGTGAGACACAGGGTAGTGAGACACAGGGTAGTGAGACACAGGGTAGTGAGACACTGCTAGTGAGACACTGGGTAGTGAGACTCTGGGTAGTGAGACTCTGGGTAGTGAGACACAGGGTAGTGAGACTCTGGGTAGTGAGACTCTGGGTAGTGAGACACAGGGTAGTGAGACTCTGGGTCGTGAGACACTGGGTAGTGAGACACAGGGTGGTGAGACTCTGGGTAGTGAGACACAGGGTAGTGAGACACAGGGTAGTGAGACACAGGGTAGTGAGACACAGGGTAGTGAGACACAGGGTAGTGAGACACTGGGTAGTGAGACACTGCTAGTGAGACACTGGGTAGTGAGACACAGGGTAGTGAGACACTGCTAGTGAGACACTGGGTAGTGAGACACTGGTAGTGAGACACTGGGTAGTGAGACACTGGGTAGTGAGACACTGGGTAGTGAGACACAGGGTAGTGAGACACTGCTAGTGAGACACTGGGTAGTGATACAAAGGGTAGTGAGACTCTGGGTAGTGAGACACTGGGTAGTGAGACACAGGGTAGTGAGACACAGGGTAGTGAGACACAGGGTAGTGAGACACAGGGTAGTGAGACTCTGGGTAGTGAGACACTGGGTAGTGAGACACAGGGTAGTGAGACACTGGGTAGTGAGACACTGGGTAGTGAGACACAGGGTAGTGAGACACTGGGTAGTGAGACACAGGGTAGTGAGACTCTGGGTAGTGAGACTCTGGGTAGTGAGACACTGGGTAGTGAGACACAGGGTAGTGAGACACAGGGTAGTGAGACACTGGGTAGTGAGACACAGGGTAGTGAGACACAGGGTAGTGAGACGCTGGGTAGTGAGACACTGGGTAGTGAGACACTGCTAGTGAGACACTGGGTAGTGAGACACTGGGTAGTGAGACACAGGGTAGTGAGACACAGGGTAGTGAGACACTGCTAGTGAGACACAGGGTAGTGAGACTCTGGGTAGTGAGACTCTGGGTAGTGAGACTCTGGGTAGTGAGACACAGGGTAGTGAGACTCTGGGTAGTGAGACACAGGGTAGTGAGACTCTGGGTAGTGAGACACAGGGTAGTGAGACTACGGGTAGTGAGACACTGGGTAGTGAGACACAGGGTAGTGAGACACTGGGTAGTGAGACACAGGGTAGTGAGACACTGGGTAGTGAGACACTGGTAGTGAGACACTGGGTAGTGAGACACTGGGTAGTGAGACTCTGGGTAGTGAGACACTGGGCAGTGAGACACTGGGTAGTGAGACTCTGGGTAGTGAGACTCTGGGTAGTGAGACACAGGGTAGTGAGACTCTGGGTAGTGAGACACAGGGTAGTGAGACTCTGGGTAGTGAGACACTGGGTAGTGAGACACAGGGTAGTGAGACACAGGGTAGTGAGACACTGCTAGTGAGACACAGGGTAGTGAGACTCTGGGTAGTGAGACACTGGGTAGTGAGACACTGGGTAGTGAGACACAGGGTAGTGAGACACAGGGTAGTGAGACACAGGGTAGTGAGACACAGGGTAGTGAGACACAGGGTAGTGAGACACTGGGTAGTGAGACTCTGGGTAGTGAGACACTGGGTAGTGAGACACTGGGTAGTGAGACACAGGGTAGTGAGACACTGCTAGTGAGACACAGGGTAGTGAGACTCTGGGTAGTGAGACTCTGGGTAGTGAGACTCTGGGTAGTGAGACACAGGGTAGTGAAACTCTGGGTAGTGAGACACAGGGTAGTGAGACTCTGGGTAGTGAGACACAGGGTAGTGAGACTACGGGTAGTGAGACACTGGGTAGTGAGACACAGGGTAGTGAGACACTGGGTAGTGAGACACAGGGTAGTGAGACACTGGGTAGTGAGACACTGGTAGTGAGACACAGGGTAGTGAGACTCTGGGTAGTGAGACACTGCTAGTGAGACACAGGGTAGTGAGACACAGGGTAGTGAGACTCTGGGTAGTGAGACACAGGGTAGTGAGACTCTGGGTAGTGAGACTCTGGGTAGTGAGACACAGGGTAGTGAGACTCTGGGTAGTGAGACACAGGGTAGTGAGACACTGGGTAGTGAGACTCTGGGTAGTGAGACACAGGGTAGTGAGACACTGGGTAGTGAGACTCTGGGTAGTGAGACACTGCGTAGTGAGACACTGGGTAGTGAGACACTGCTAGTGAGACACAGGGTAGTGAGACACAGGGTAGTGAGACTCTGGGTAGTGAGACACAGGGTAGTGAGACACAGGGTCGTGAGACTCTGGGTAGTGAGACACTGGGTAGTGAGACACAGGGTAGTGAGACACAGGGTAGTGAAACACAGGGTAGTGAGACACTGGGTAGTGAGACACAGGGTAGTGAGACACTGGGTAGTGAGACACTGGGTAGTGAGACACTGGGTAGTGAGACACTGGGTAGTGAGACTCTGGGTAGTGAGACTCTGGGTAGTGAGACTCTGGGTAGTGAGACTCTGGGTAGTGAGACACTGGGTAGTGAGACTCTGGGTAGTGAGACACTGCTAGTGAGACACTGCTAGTGAGACACAGGGTAGTGAGACACAGGGTAGTGAGACACTGGGTAGTGAGACACTGGGTAGTGAGACTCTGGGTAGTGAGACACTGGGTAGTGAGACACTGGGTAGTGAGACACTGCTAGTGAGACACAGGGTAGTGAGACTCTGGGTAGTGAGACTCTGGGTAGTGAGACTCTGGGTAGTGAGACACTGGGTAGTGAGACACAGGGTAGTGAGACACTGGGTAGTGAGACACTGTGTAGTGAGACACTGGGTAGTGAGATACTGGGTAGTGAGACACTGGGTATTGAGACACTGGGTAGTGAGACACTGGGTAGTGAGACACTGGGTATTGAGACACTGGGTAGTGAGACACTGGGTAGTGAGACACTGGGTAGTGAGACACTGGGTAGTGAGACTCTGGGTAGTGAGACACTGGGCAGTGAGACACTGGGTAGTGAGACTCTGGGTAGTGAGACTCTGGGTAGTGAGACACTGGGTAGTGAGACTCTGGGTAGTGAGACACTGGGCAGTGAGACACTGGGTAGTGAGACACTGGGTAGTGAGACACTGAGTAGTGAGACACTGGGTAGTGAGACACTGGGTAGTGAGACACTGCTAGTGAGACACTGCTAGTGAGACTCTGGGTAGTGAGACAGTGGGTAGTGAGACACTGCTAGTGAGACATTGGTGGCCACGGCAGATAATGACAGGGGAGTCAGCTGTGAGTGTGAAGGGACTGGTGGCCACTGGAGGTAATGACAGGGGGAGTCAGCTGTGAGTGTGAAGGGACTGGTGGTCACGAGAGGTAATGACAGGGGAGTCAGCTGTAGGTGTGAAGGGACTGGTGGCCACGGGAGGTAATGACAGGGGAGTCAGCTGTGAGTGTGAAGGGACTGGTGGTCACGGGAGGTAATGACAGGGGGAGTCAGCTGTGAGTGTGAAGGGACTGGTGGTCACGGGAGGTAATGACAGGGGGAGTCAGCTGTGAGTGTGAAGGGACTGGTGGCCACGGGAGGTAATGACAGGGGAGTCAGCTGTGAGTGTGAAGGGACTGGTGGCTATAGGGGTTAGTAACAGGGGAGTCAGCTGTGAGTGTGAAGGGACTGGTGGCTATAGGGGTTAGTAACAGGGGAGTCAACTGTGAGTGTGAAGGGACTGGTGGCCACGAGAGGAAGTGACAGGGGGAGTCAGCTGTGAGTGTGAAGGGACTGGTGGCCACGGGAGGTAATGACAGGGGGAGTCAGCTGTGAGTGTGAAGGGACTGGTGGCCACGGGAGGTAATGACAGGGGAGTCAGCTGTGAGTGTGAAGGGACTGGTGACCACGGGAGGTAATGACAGGGGCGTAAGCTGTGAGTGTGAAGGGAGTGGTGGCCACAGGAGGTAATGACAGGGGAGTCAGCTGTGAGTGTGAAGGGACTGGTGGCCACGGGAGGTAGTGACAGGGGAGTCAGCTGTGAGTGTGAAGGGACTGGTGGCCACGGGAGGTAATGACAGGTGAGTCAGCTGTGAGTGTGAAGGGAGTGGTGGCCACAGGAGGTAATGACAGGGGAGTCAGCTGTGAGTGTGAAGGGACTGGTGGCCACGGGAGGTAGTGACAGGGGAGTCAGCTGTGAGTGTGAAGGGACTGGTGGCCACGGGAGGTAATGACAGGGGAGTCAGCTGTGAGTGTGAAGCGACTGGTGGTCACGAGGAGATAATGACAGGGGAGTCAGCTGTGAGTGTGAAGGGACTGGTGGCCACGGGAGGTAATGACAGGGGAGTCAGCTGTGAGTGTGAAGGGACTGGTGGCTACGGGAGGTAATGACAGGGGAGTCAGCTGTGAGTGTGAAGGGACTGGTGGCCATGGGAGGTAATGACAGGGGAGTCAGCTGTGAGTGTGAAGGGACTGGTGGCCACGGGAGGTAATGACAGGGGGAGTCAGCCGTGAGGGCGAAGGGACTGGTGGCCGTGGGAGGTAATGACAGGGGGAGTCAGCTGTGAGTGTGAAGGGACTGGTGGCCACGGGAGGTAATTACAGGGGAGTCAGCTGTGAGTGTGAAGGGACAGGTGTCCACGGGAGGTAATGACAGGGGGAGTCAGCTGTGAGTGTGAAGGGACTGGTGGCTACGGGAGGTAATGACAGGGGAGTCAGCTGTGAGTGTGAAGGGACTGGTGACCACGGGAGGTAATGACAGGGGAGTCAGCTGTGAGTGTGAAGGGACTGGTGGCTATAGGGGTTAGTAACAGGGGAGTCAGCTGTGAGTGTGAAGGGACTGGTGGCTATAGGGGTTAGTAACAGGGGAGTCAACTGTGAGTGTGAAGGGACTGGTGGCCACGAGAGGAAGTGACAGGGGGAGTCAGCTGTGAGTGTGAAGGGACTGGTGGCCACGGGAGATAATGACAGGGGGCGTAAGCTGTGAGTGTGAAGGGAGTGGTGGCCACAGGAGGTAATGACAGGGGAGTCAGCTGTGAGTGTGAAGGGACTGGTGGCCACGGGAGGTAGTGACAGGGGAGTCAGCTGTGAGTGTGAAGGGACTGGTGGCCACGGGAGATAATGACAGGTGAGTCAGCTGTGAGTGTGAAGCGACTGGTGGCCACGAGAGGTAATGACAGGGGAGTCAGCTGTGAGTGTGAAGGGACTGGTGGCTACGGGAGGTAATGACAGGGGGAGTCAGCTGTGAGTGTGAAGGGACTGGTGGCTACGGGAGGTAATGACAGGGGAGTCAGCTGTGAGTGTGAAGGGACTGGTGACCACGGGAGGTAATGACAGGGGAGTCAGCTGTGAGTGTGAAGGGACTGGTGGTCACGGGAGGTAATGACAGGGGAGTCAGCTGTGAGTGTGAAGGGACTGGTGGCTACGGGAGGTAATGACAGGGGAGTCAGCTGTGAGTGTGAAGGGACTGGTGGCCATGGGAGGTAATGACAGGGGAGTCAGCTGTGAGTGTGAAGGGACTGGTGGCCACGGGAGGTAATGACAGGGGGAGTCAGCCGTGAGGGCGAAGGGACTGGTGGCCGTGGGAGGTAATGACAGGGGGAGTCAGCTGTGAGTGTGAAGGGACTGGTGGCCACGGGAGGTAATGACAGGGGAGTCAGCTGTGAGTGTGAAGGGACAGGTGTCCATGGGAGGTAATGACAGGGGGAGTCAGCTGTGAGTGTGAAGGGACTGGTGGCTACGGGAGGTAATGACAGGGGAGTCAGCTGTGAGTGTGAAGGGACTGGTGACCACGGGAGGTAATGACAGGGGAGTCAGCTGTGAGTGTGAAGGGACTGGTGGTCAAGGGAGATAATGACAGGGGGAGTCAGCTGTGAGTGTGAAGGGACTGGTGGTCACGGGAGATAATGACAGGGGGAGTCAGCTGTGAGTGTGAAGGGACTGGTGGCCACGAGAGGAAGTGACAGGGGGAGTCAGCTGTGAGTGTGAAGGGACTGGTGGCCACGGGAGGTAATGACAGGGGAGTCAGCTGTGAGTGTGAAGGGACTGGTGGTCACGGGAGGTAATGACAGGGGGAGTCAGCTGTGAGTGTGAAGGGACTGGTGGTCACGAGAGGTACTGACAGGGGGAGTCAGCTGTGAGTGTGAAGGGACTGGTGGTCACGGGAGGTAATGACAGGGGAGTCAGCTGTGAGTGTGAAGGGACTGGTGGCCACGGGAGGTAATGACAGGGGAGTCAGATGTGAGTGGAAAGGGACTGGTGGCCACGGGAGGTAGTGACAGAGGAGTCAGTTGTGAATGTGAAGGGACTGGTGGCCATGGGAGGTAATGACAGGGGAGTCAGCTGTGAGTGTGAAGGGACTGGTGGCTACGGGAGGTAATGACAGGGGAGTCAGCTGTGAGTGTGAAGGGACTGGTGGCCACGGGAGGTAATGACAGGGAAGTCAGCTGTGAGTGTGAAGGGACTGGTGGTCACGGGAGGTAATGACAGGGGGAGTCAGCTGTGAGTGTGAAGGGACTGGTGGCCATGGGAGGTAATGACAGGGGAGTCAGCTGTGAGTGTGAAGGGACTGGTGGCCATGGGAGGTAATGACAGGGGAGTCAGCTGTGAGTGTGAAGGGACTGGTGGCCATGGGAGGTAATGACAGGGGAGTCAGCTGTGAGTGTGAAGGGACTGGTGGTCACGTGAGGTAATGACAGGGGAGTCAGCTGTGAGTGTGAAGGGACTGGTGGTCACGGGAGGTAATGACAGGGGGAGTCAGCTGTGAGTGTGAAGGGACTGGTGGCCATGGGAGGTAATGACAGGGGAGTCAGCTGTGAGTGTGAAGAGACTGGTGGCCATGGGAGGTAATGACAGGGGAGTCAGCTGTGAGTGTGAAGGGACTGGTGGCCATGGGAGGTAATGACAGGGCTGTCAGCTGTGAGTGTGAAGGGACTGGTGACTATGGGGGTTAATGACAGGGGAGTCAGCTGTGAGTGTGAAGGGACTGGTGGCCACGGGAGGTAATGACACGGGGAGTCAGCTGTGACTGTGAAGGGACTGGTGTCCACGGAAGGTAATGACAGGGGAGTCAGCTGTGAGTGTGAAGGGACTGGTGGCCACTGGAATGTGCGAGCAGGCAGCGTGGTCAGGCGACGGACGAGGATGGTGGAGTCTGCCGCTGGAGCGAGCGTCCAGAGTTGGCGAGGACGATTGAGAATGGGGGGGGGGGGGGGGGGGGGGCGTGGCCTCGTGTCGGTATAAAAGGGGCGTGGCCTCGTGTCGGTATAAAAGGGGGCGTGGCCTCGCGGCGGTATAAAAGTGGGCGTGGTCTCGTGTCGGTATAAAAGGGGGCGTGGCCTCGTGGCGGTATAAAAGGGGCGTGGCCTCGTGTCGGTATAAACGGGGGCAAGGCCTCGTGTCGGTAAAAAGGGGGCGTGGCCTCGTGTGGGTATAAAAGGGGCGTGTCCTCGTGTGGGTATAAAAGGGGGCGTGTCCTCGTGTGGGTATAAAAGGGGGCGTGTCCTCGTGTGGGTATAAAAGGGGGCGTTGTCCTCGTATGGGTATAAAAGGGGGCATGGCCTGGTGTGGGTATAAAAGGGGGCGTGTCCTCTTGTGGGTATTAAAGGGGGCGTGGCCTAGTGTGGGTATAAAAGGGGGCGTGGCCTCCTGTGGGTATAAAAGGGGGAGATTCGCGGGAGACCCGGGGCTGTTGTGGTGGGGGTCTCCGCCCTCGTCCGCTTGAAGCGACGGAGCTTCGAGGTGGAGAACGAAGCCCCGGGCCGACAGCTGTTGTTGTTATTGTTGTTGTTATTGTTGTTGTTATTGTTGTTGTTATTGTTGTTGTTATTGTTGTTGTTATTGTTGTTGTTATTGTTGTTGTTATTGTTGTTGTTATTGTTGTTATTGTTATTGTTGTTATTGTTATTGTTGTTGTTATTGTTGTTATTGTTATTGTTGTTGTTATTGTTGTTGTTGTTGTTAATGTTGTTGTTGTTAATGTTGGTGTTATTAATGTTGTTAATGTTGTTAATGTTAATGTTGTTAATGTTGTTGTTAATGTTGTTGTTGTTATTGTTGTTGTTATTGTTGTTGTTATTGTTGTTGTTATTGTTGTTGTTGTTATTGTTGTTATTATTGTTGTTGTTGTTGTTAATGTTATTGTTAATGTTGTTATTAATGTTGTTAATGTTGTTAATGTTGTTGTTGTTGCATCTTAATGGAAGAGCCTCTCGTTAGAGAGTCGTCCCAGTCGGGCCGTGCCAGGCGGCGGCATAGCGGCAGAAACGTTGAGACGATAAACCTGTTTGTTTAAACGCCACCGAAAACCATCCCCGCCGCCACGGCGACGTTTCGGCGACGGCGCCTCCTCCAGGCGGTGCCCAACTCACGTGACGCGGTTGTAGCCCTCATATCCGACGGCGCAGGTGAGGCTGCTGCTGAAGTTGTGCCGCACCGTGTCGCCAGCCATGGCGATCTCGCCGTGGGTCACCACCAACCGGCGGCAGGACTCTGACGGGGACGACACGGGGAAGGAGGGTCCAGCACTACACACACACACTCACTCACTCAACCATACACTCACACACTCACTCACTCACACACTCACTCACTCAACCATACACTCACACACTCACTCACTCACACACTCACTCACACACTCACTCACACACTCACACATACACTCACTCACACACTCACTCACTCACACACTCACTCACACACTCACTCAACCATACACTCACTCACCCATACACTCACTCACACACTCACTCACACACTCACTCAACCACACACTCATACACTCACTCACTCACACACTCACACACTCACACACTCACTCACTCACGCCATGGCGATCTCGCCGTGGGTCACCACCAACCGGCGGCAGGACTCTGACGGGGACGACACGGGGAGGGAGGGTCCAGCACTACACTCACTCACTCACACACTCACTCACTCATACACTCACTCACTCACCCATACACTCACACACTCACATACCCACTCACTCACACATACACTCACTCACACACCCATACACTCACACACTCACTCACACACTCACTCACTCAACCATACACTCACACACTCAACCATACACTCACAAACTCACACACTCACACACTCACTCACACATACACTCACTCACACACTCACTCACTCAACCACACACTCACACATACACTCACACACTCACACACACACTCACACACACACTCACACACACACCCATACACTCACTCACCCATACACTCACTCACCCATACACTCACTCACACACTCACACACACACTCACACACTCACTCACACACACACCCATACACTCACTCACCCATACACTCACTCACACACTCACACACACACTCACACACTCACTCACACACACACCCATACACTCACTCACTCACACACTCACACACTCACACACTCACGCCATGGCGATCTCGCCGTGGGTCACCACCAACCGGCGGCAGGACTCTGACGGGGACGACACGGGGAGGGAGGGTCCAGCACTACACACACACACTCACTCACACACTCACTCAACCATACACTCACACACTCACTCACTCACACACTCACTCACACACTCACTCACACACTCACTCACCCATACACCCATACACTCACACACTCACTCACACACTCACTCACTCAACCATACACTCACACACTCAACCATACACTCACAAACTCACACACTCACACACTCACTCACTCACACATACACTCACTCACACACTCACTCACTCAACCACACACTCACACATACACTCACACACTCACACACACACTCACACACACACTCATACACTCACACACTCACACACTCACTCACACACTCAATCACACACTCACTCACTCACACACTCACGCCATGGCGATCTCGCCGTGGGTCACCACCAACCGGCGGCAGGACTCTGTCGGGGACGACACGGGGAGGGTCCACAACTACACTCACACTCACTCACTCATACACTCACTCACTCAACCATACACTCACACACTCACTCACCCATACACTCACTCACACACTCACTCACTCACACACTCACTCACTCATACACTCACTCACTCAACCATACACTCACACACTCAACCATACACTCACACACTCACACACTCACTCACACACTCACACATACACTCACTCACCCATACACCCATACACTCACACACTCACACACCCACACACTCACACATACACCCATACACTGACTCACTCACACACTCACCCACACACTCACACACTCACTCACTCAACCACTCACTCAACCATACACACACTCACTCACACTCACACATACACTCACTCACACACTCACTCACTCACACACTCACTCACTCACACACTCACTCAACCATACACTCACTCACCCATACACTCACTCACCCATACACACACTCACCCATACACTCACTCACACACTCACACTCACTCACACACTCACTCACTCACGCCATGGCGATCTCGCCGTGGGTGACCACCAACCGGCGGCAGGACTCTGTCGGGGGCGACACGGGGAGGGTCCACCACTACACTCACACACACACACTCACTCACACACTCACTCAACCATACACTCACACACTCAACCATACACTCACAAACTCACACACTCAATCACACACTCACACATACACTCACTCACCCATACAACCACACACTCACACACTCACACACCCACACACTCACACACTCACACATACACTCACTCACACACTCACTCACTCACACACTCACTCACTCACACACTCACTCACACACTCACACACTCACTCACTCACACACTCACTCACTCACACACTCACTCACTCACACACTCACTCACACACACACTCATACACTCACTCACCCATACACTCACTCACCCATACACTCACTCACACACTCACTCACTCACGCCATGGCGATCTCGCCGTGGGTCACCACCAACCGGCGGCAGGACTCTGACGGGGACGACACGGGGAGGGAGGGTCCAGCACTACACTCACACACTCACTCATACACTCACTCACTCAACCATACACTCACACACTCACTCACTCATACACTCACTCACACACTCACTCACTCACTCAACCATACACTCACACACTCAACCATACACTCACACACTCACACACTCACTCACTCACCCATACACTCACTCACACACTCACACACACTCACACACTCACTCACTCACCCATACACTCACACACTCACTCACTCATACACTCACTCACACACTCACTCACTCACGCCATGGCGATCTCGCCGTGGGTCACCACCAACCGGCGGCAGGACTCTGACGGGGACGACACGGGGAGGGAGGGTCCAGCACTACACTCACACACTCATTCACTCACTCACTCAACCATACACTCACACACTCACTCACTCATACACTCACTCACACACTCACTCACTCACACACTCACTCACTCACACACTCACTCACTCACACACTCACTCACACACTCACACACTCACTCACACACTCACTCACACACTCACACACTCACTCACACACTCACACACTCACTCACACACTCACTCACACACTCACACACTCACGCCATGGCGATCTCGCCGTGGGTCACCACCAACCGGCGGCAGGACTCTGTCGGGGACGACACGGGGAGGGTCCACAACTACACTCACATATACTCACTCACTCATACACTCACTCACACACTCACTCACTCACACACTCACACATACACCCATACACTCACTCACTCATACACTCAACCACACACTCACACATACACCCATACACTCACTCACTCACACACTCACTCACACACTCACACACACTCACACACTCACTCACTCACCCATACACTCACTCACTCATACACCCATACACCCACACACTCACTCACTCATACACCCATACACTCAACCACACACTCACACATACACTCACTCACTCACACACTCACACATACACTCGCACACTCACTCACTCAACCATACACACACTCACACATACACTCACTCACTCATACACTCACACATACACTCACACACTCACTCACTCACACACTCACTCACTCACCCATACACTCACACACTCACTCACCCACACACTAACTCACTCATACACCCATACACTCAACCACACACTCACACATACACTCACTCACTCATACACCCATACAATCAACCACACACTCACACATACACCCATACACTCACTCACTCACTCAAGCACACACTCACACATACACTCACTCACTCACTCCCCCAGACACTCACACACTCACTCACACACACTCACTCACACACTCATACATACACTCACCCATACACTCACACACTCACTCACTCACACACTCACTCACACACTCACACACACTCACTCACCCATACACTCACTAACTCACCCATACACTCACACACTCACCCACACACTCACTCACACACTCACTCACTCACCCATACACTCACTCACAGACTCACACATTCACACACTCACTCACTCACACACTCACACACTCACTCACCCATACACTCACTCACTCACACACTCACACACACACTCACTCACACACTCACTCACCCATACACTCACACACTCACTCACACACTCACTCACAAACTCACACACACAACAACAACAACAACCGCCATGCGCCAATAAGTGGCGGTGACGTCACCACGACGCTTGTGCCAGGCTATGTGCACCCTGAGGCCACGTGAAGTGTCGAACGCCCGCTGGCAGGAGGTCACGGGGCAGACCCAGGTGCCACGGGTCGACTGACTGAGATGACTGGCTGATGCACCACCTGTGCCCCCTACTGTGCCAACCTGCTGTGCTTTAGCCACCCAGCGCTCCGCTCGCTGTTGTGAGCGTCGCTCCTCCGCCCTCCGTTGTTGTTGGAGGGCGACTTCCTCCAACTGCCCAGTAGCATCCTTCACGAGCCTCCTCCACAGAGGCCGATCTTGACACCGCTGGTACCAGTCATCGGCAAGTCCACTCAGCTCCACGTCCTCCTGTACCACATCACTCCATCTCTTCTCTAGCCCGTGCCGCGCCCGCTTAGCCCCCTCAATCCGGCCAAACAAAAGCTGTTTCGGCATGCGGTGGCTGGGCATGCGGGCTACATGACCCAGCCATCGCAGCCTTGCCTGCCGGAGGAGCTCACCGATGGGACCCTGCCCAGATCTTTCAAGGATTTGTGAGCTCCTCACACAATCCAGTCTGGTTAAACCCAGGATGGATCGTAGGCAGGCCAGCCTAAATGTTTCTAACCGGCGAAGATGTTCCATTAGGGGGGTCCACGTTTCGCAAGCGTAGAGCACTAAGCTTCAGAAGACCTGACGCTTAGTGCGGAGCGACAGACCAGGTAGCTTCCACACAGCGTTACGTAACCGATGAAAAGATATTGCCGCTCGACTGATTCGGAGTGAGACCTCTGCTGTTAAACTGGAGCCAGTCATAAGCACACTGCCCAGGTATGGGAAACTCTCCACGCTCTCCACAACTGCCCCATCACCGATTGGGAGTTGTGGGGGTGGAGTGTCCGATGGTACAAAATACCCAGGCAGGTGCTTAGTTTTGGTGGGGCTGATGGTAAGGCCCCACCTCTTAGTGGCACGCTCCAGCTATTACCAAATCTGCTCACACACTCACACACTCACTCACACACTCACTCACCCATACACTCAGCCATACACTCACCCATACACTCACTCACTCACCCACTCACACACTCACTCACTCACCCACTCACCCACCCACTCACCCACCCACCCACTCACACACTCACCCACTCACTCGCACACTCAATCACTCACTCACTCACCCATGCACTCACACACTCACTCACCCATGCATTCACTCACTCACCCACTCAACCACTCACTCACTCACCCACACACTCAACCACACACTCACTCACCCACCCACACACTCACCTATACACTCACACACTCACTCACCCATGCACTCACTCACTCACCCACTCAACCACTCACCCACACACTCACTCACTGTGTGTGTCAGTCTGTGTGTCTGTGTGTATGTGAATGTTTCACATACAAGCCCATGGTCTGCACAAAAATCTAGCAGCCTCCTACCGTTATTATTGAGCTGATCTGGCCCATGCCCTCCAATCACTCCAGACCAGGTGCCAGCATCATGACCAACTCGGGCATTGAAGTCACCCAACAAGATGACTCTATCCCGAGGGGCCACTTATGACATCATAACAACAGTCTGGACCACTGGACGGGTTCCGCAGGATTGGAAGGATGCCCTGGTGGTCCCCCACTTTCAGAAGGGGGACCACACAGACTGTAACAACTACAGGGGCATCTCACTCCTCAGTGTGCCGGAAAAGGTCCTGGCAAGGATTATTCAACATCGCCTTGCCAGGCACGCTGAGGAGAGGCTTGCGGAGCCCCAATGCGGTTTCAGGAAAGGGCGGTCCTGCACAGATGCCATATTTTCTGTCCGTCTGCTACAGCAGAGGTGTAGGGAATTCCAACAAGACCTACATCTCTGCTTTATTGACCTGGTCAAGGCCTATGATACCATCAGTAGGCCTGGGCTCTGAGTTATTCTTCGTGCTTTTGGAGTCCCTGATCCTCTGCTCACGATCATTAAGGACCTTCATGATGGTGAGCGGGCCCGGGTAAAACTACGTGGCCGGGAGTCAGAGCCATTCCCTGTACACCTTGGGGTGCGACAGGGATGTCCTCTGGCTCCCACATTATTTAATATCTATTTTGACCAAGTAGTTCTTGAAGCCTTCAATAGCTGTACCGGCGGAATCTCCATTTGGTACAAATATAATGGGAGGCTGATCGATGCCCGGGTGCGGTCAAGGGATGGCTCCCTATTGCTCAACCACGTTATGTATGTCGATGATTTGGTAATAGCTGCTCATTCAGAGGAGGAGTTGGAGACGCTGTTGCTGAGACTGGAGCGTGCCACTAAGAGATGGGGCCTTACCATCAGCCCCACCAAAACTAAGCACCTGCCTGGGTATTTTGTACCATCGGACACTCCACCCCCACAATTCCCAATCGGTGATGAGGCAGTTGTGGAGAGAGTGGAGAGTTTCTCATACCTGGGCAGTGTGCTCTTGACCGGCTCCGGTTTAACAGCAGAGGTCTCACTCCGAATCAGTCGAGCGGTAATATCTTTTCATCGGTTGCGTAACGCTGTGTGGAAGCTACCTGGTCTGTCGCTCCGCACTAAGCTTCAGGTCTTCTCGGCCACGGTCATTCCCTCCCTTCTCTACGCTTGTGAAACGTGGACCCCCCCTAATGGAACATCTTCGCCGGTTAGAAACATTTAGGCTGGCCTGCCTACGATCCATCCTGCGTTTAACCAGGCTGGATTGTGTGAGGAGCTCACAAATCCTTGAAAGATCTGGGCAAGGTCCCATCGGTGAGCTCCTCCGGCAGGCAAGGCTGCGTTGGCTGAGTCATGTAGCCCGCATGCCCAGCCACCGCATGCCTACACAGCTTTTGTTCAGCCAGATCGAGGGGGCTAAACGGGCGCGGCACGGGCTAGAGAAGAGATGGAGTGATGTGGTACAGGAGGACGTGGAGCTGAGT